ATTCCTTCGTCAACCGCGCATCACGGAGGAATGGAAGACGAATCCGCGAACCCAAAATCCCCTCTCAAAAGAACAAACTCGAAGTCGCTCTTTATCGCGTAGCGTGAAAGAAGGTTAAATCGCTTGCCACCAGATGGCAGGGTCAAGCAGAGTAATCGCAAGTAGCTAGGCCAGGTGGCGCTAGGTACCGCCCAATTCATGTTCTACAAAAAATATTATGTTCCCTCAGGCCGCAATTACGCATAGGGATCTTCGGGAGCCTCTGCTATACACACATGCAGACACATTACGCATACTACAAGCGTCAGGTGAACATACATAGAGCGCATACACAAACATGGCACATACAAACATCAATACAACGGCACACTACACCCGACCTCTGCGTTTTCGTCCTTTATAATGGTCGTTTTGAACGTACGGAATTTCTCGGTGACTCCCTAAGCAATAAAAAATGTTCACAGCATGTTCATTCTTTTTTTCAGCATTGTCATACCTTTGAGAGTATTTCGAATGCATCAGGGGAAGAATATTTTATTTAAAAGTAAACGCTCAATCCGGCCGTAATTATTTGAAAGTCAATAAATCAAGCCGCTCCATTGCGGTTCGAAGCCATGTGTTTGTTTACCGTACGGCACGTCGTAGCCTGTATTTCTTTTGTAACGTTTGGCTTTTCTATTTGGCTGCAATTGCCGTCTTGAATTAATCTCTGTAGAGCGAATATTCACTCAGCTGGAAGTGATGCTTCACGGGCAGAGAAATCGCTTTTCGATCAACCTGAATACAGTCGAAGCTGCGACTTGCGTACGACGCTATGCCGTGGCGAGCTCGAAAACTTCTAGCGCTCATCCCAGCGCGCCAATTAAAAGGAAGTTTCTCGAGGAACAGTAGTATTATTAAACAGCGAAATAGAGCGTAGCTTTTTTTTTCAATTTTACGTACTATTATTTTTAATGCTAAAATTCCATACTGTAAATATACGTACTTTCCGTCATAATTATGTACTGTTTATTCCTTTCCCCAGAGCACAATCGCTCTCGGCGAGGAGATAACTGAAACTCACATTGGCCACTGTCATAGCCTCCTGAGGCTATGCCACTGTACGATAAGAGCTTACTGTTCAGACCAGCGTTCCAACATGAATATCTGCAAGTCGATCGATTGCACGTGCCTAATCCCTCAAGTGGTCTTAAACTTTTTAATTTAAAGGGAATGTCAGCCTGCGACTCCTCGCCCCCTCCGATCACGGTTCGAATAAAGCCACTGAATAAAGCTACGCTTTCAGAGTACCGAAACTCCCAAACTGCGCGTCTGAGGCACGTCAGGCTCCGCCATCATGGGTCCACGCGCAGATGGAGGAGTGACTCCAGCCGAGCCAAGCCGAGCTGTAGCCGTCGCCTGCGCCAGCTGCCACAGCCGCAGCTGTGGCAGCGAATCAAGGTCGTGTTGTACGTATCTCGACGTAACGCGGAAAGTACGCGTGCTGAGCGACGAACTGCGCACGCAGTAAACAGTAAACACCCGCAGGCAGAGGACCGCCGGACCCAAGATGGTGGCGTTGAGCAAACGTGATGATAATGATAGCGACTCACGTGACTGCCGTTGTCCAATGACGCCGCAGCGAACCAGAATATAGTTGGATAGAGAGTCTTTATTGTCGGCAAAATGCCAAAGAAAAGGAATGCGCTACTCTGAAAGCGTAGCTTATTTAGTGGCTCTAGGCCCGACCAGCGGCATCAACGCCCGACAGTTTACGTCATCTCATCTTGTTGTTACACCACTGATACGCGAACACACGGTCACATCGGCGATAATTCCAGTCTTCTGTGCACAACCCACAACACTGTCATTACGATATTGCTGCTCTGTTGCTGACACGCAGAAATACAGAACCACGTTAAACGCCGGTTGGCACTCGGCATCGGAAAACAGAACCCACCTCAGCACGGAAGGCACCCAGGCAGCCGGCAGCAAAACCTGCCTGTCTTGAAAGCAGTTCCTGCGATTTCCATAACGTCGAAAACGTCGACGCAGTTCCGCGTGGTTCCGCTACTGCAGTTCGGCGTGGGACCCGGGTGACGCCTTTTTCGGAGGTCCATACGGAGCAGAGCGAAATAGCAGAGTAGCAGTTTGACGTCTGTGGCGTCTTGTCCGGTTTATTTTGTTACCTTGACGTCATCTCCACAGTGTTCACTGGTGTTCATCTCTTCACTTCGCGTACTCCTCCGGAGTATGCTCCCAGCTCGTTCCTCCGAAGTCAACACAACTTTCATAGTTGGTAAATAACGGCCCGTGCCAGTCGTTTGCAAAGCGACGTAGATAGAAACAATTCGCCGCGGTGTTTTTCGCGGCTTCGGAGATGCAGGAGCGAGCCGACGTTTCAACTACGAGAGTGCCAGCAAGAGCCACGTAAAAGATGTGTGCACACTCGGAGCGGACGCGCACGTTTGATCGAAGTGCTTCGGGACCGATCTTTTACGAGTACCAGTCGATACGGACGTGACTCTCGGCAAAGAAATTAGGGACCGGCATGGCGTAACTCCCACGAACTGTTATAGCTCGATAGTAATGTACTATAGGAAACAATTGAGCTTTAAAGCGCCCCCGCGGCGACAAGCGTGTGAGAATAAAAATGACCCACTAATAACAAAGTGTACATACCGTGTTGCGAAAGTAATTCATACGGCGTTTATTTTGGCGCAGATGGACCTCGTAGCTATTGAGCCATAAAGCCCCAAAATCTGTCACGGCGTTTATTTGAGCTCCATATCACACAAAACAAGGAGATAGAATCGACGACAGCGTTCGTCACCGCTGCCTCGGAAAAGGAGGTGACAAGGGGAAGAGAATGACCCCTTAATCTAAAATTGAGGGTCGCGCGGGCGCGTATTCTATTCAGCAAGCCAACCGGTCGGTCATGGGAAGACGGTCTTGGCCAAGGACCGACGGAGCAACGCCGGCAACGCTGCGACGAGTGGGGGTGCCTGCTAGACCTGGAGCTCGCTCGGTCGGTGGCATCGTTGCCGTTGTACCTTTTCCCGAGTGTTTGTGGATCCAGCGTTCATGTTCGTCGAGGCCGGTTTCAAGTACTTCCTTCTTTTTTCCTGCTACTTGAAATCGGGACCCGCGAGAAGAGCACGTAGAAAAATAAATGTCGGTTGGTCGTCGCGACGTTGTCGGTCATGTTGATTTGATCGTGGAAAGACGGCTCCGGAGATGTTGTCGTACGCACATTCTTGGCGTAAGATCGTTTCGTTTATTTGGCCTCTGTTTTTTAGCGTATGGCACTGCAAAAATAACACGGCGCGACCGCCGCCTCCCCACGCCCCAACACTAGAGATAACAACCTGCAACAAGCTCTTCGCAAAACGTTAAAAAAAATTTTGTTTTTGTTTTTACGTCTTTGGCAGTGACGTCACGGACGTCACTGCCCCGTATCGACCTCCAAAAAACGCGTGCCGGGTCCCGCAATCCGGAGCCTAGCATCTTACCCAGTGTACGTAGCGCTGTTGGCACTGCTCCGGAACTTCGCTCTTTCTAGCGGCTTCGTTTGCTCGTTTGATAAAATTAGTAATAAAAACATCAATGCAGCCGAAATGTTCTGCTCGTTTGGACTAGAAGACGGAACTGCCGGCGGCCTTCGCTGACGCTGAAGATCAATCAACTCAACAACGTTTTTAAAACAACGTGCGCGACCTGGTCGAAAAACGAAACCGAAAGTAGACGAGTTCGGAGGGGGAAAGCTTTCTCTCGTCTGCCTGGTGAAGGAGAAAAACGTTTCGTTTCGTTCCTTCCTGTTTCTCGTGTCCGCTTGGGGGCGCGTCAGTAGAAGGGAGGAAGACGCGTCGTTGCTACCTTTTTCCTCCATTTTTTCTTTGAGTGTACAATCAGTTGTTTTGCTAAGTTTAGCACCGAACCTTACCAGCCACGTGACATGAGATGGGACACCTGTGAACATGTTATACAGCCACAGGAGTCTGTGTTGCACCAATTGTCAGAAAACCATGCGTTTTTTCTTTTTCTTTTTTTCATTTAGCGAATAATTTGTTTTATTTCTACTTGAACAGGAGACGCTGATTCTAAAAACAACCCTCCCACCCCCCTTCCCATTTTCTTCCCTCCCCGCCCAGTTTGTTAGGTATTCCACGTATGGCAGAAACAATTACATATATTCCAATTTTTCGGCTGGGGATAATTTTTAAAATACATGAACGTCTAGGATAGATGGAACGTCACGTACCAATGTAATATAATTTAAAGATGGACCGTCACGAATGAACGCCATGCCAATGACGAAAGTAGCGCTACGGAAATATGTAACGCCTCGGAAGATTGTAACGCCACGGAATGATGTAACGCCATGGATTGAAGTTACTTTAGGGTCGTATATAGCATCACGGACAGAGTAGCACGCACCACGGACTGACGACGCCGCAGAAGATGCATAGTCCCAGAGAGATGTAATCTCATGGACAGATATAACGCCAAGGACATGCGTAAGGTCATGGGCGGATGTAATGCCACAAACGAAGGTAACATTCTGGACAGTTGTGAAGTCACACAAAGATGTACCATTCCGTATAGATGTAATGTCTTGAATAGATATAACGTCAAAGACAGGTGTAACGACAGTCTTATGGGCGGATGTAACTTCAGGGGCAGTTCAGGGACGGATGTAACGTCATGGCGAAATTTAGCTTCACGGACGTATGTAACGCCATTAAGAGAGGTAGCGTTACTAACACCGTATGCAATTATACGTGGTCGCATAACTATATCACGTAAAACGGTGAGCCACGTAAGTTGACGTCGCGTCATGGCAGGACGTCGGGGGGCACACTTCTGCACGGACATCAAGTTGCTTACATATATATGCGGGTGTTTGTACGGGAAAATTAACTGTTCAAAGGAGTTTTGCGGGAGTGCAATCTATTTTTTCGTCATAGTGTTTTAAGCACACCTTGTCAAGTACATTGTTAAATTCGCCCGCATTTGCAGAATCAGTTGATATCATTACTGTGACGCTCAGGAGTTTTGATTATACTCACTTTACTGTGTCCGCAAGGGGTCCCATCCTTCCGATAAATAATTTGACGAGATATTCCCTTTGTCTCTCCGTTGTTGTGGTCTTCTCCACATTTAAACGCGCATTCTGATACCTCTACAAGCTGCAAAAACAACGCTTACTGAAACATCAGTCAACAAAACTCTCTGTGAGGATAACTTAAAGCTATAGCTTATAAATAAAGTGTCGTTTGTGACCGCTAGTTTGCTAGATGCAATTTTCCGAGACAAACCTATCGTTCTTGTGAAATTTAGTTCCATATACAATGCACTCATGTGATTGTATGCCACAAAAGCATTAAAGTCAATTTCTAATGTTACGACAACAGCGAGAAAAAAACTGAGCTAGAGAATGTGTATGGCGGTACAAGTGGGACGTAATACTAGTGGGTCGTGATGTGCGATCGCCAGTGTCTCTCACAGTTGATGCATGGCTCAGTAGTTAAATTTAGCGGGTAAGACTTCAAATTATGTTGGCCGAGAACTTTTCCGGCTAAACTTAGCGTGATTCATTTCTCACCAAAACGTGATGAAAAAAAACACTATTTACTATATTTAGCGATAAACATTTTACAGCTAAATGTGGTGGGAAACGTTTACCCTTTATAAATAGTGGGAAAACTTTGTTTTACAACTACTCATCATGTGATACGTGAATTATTCGGTAACTTCCCCGGACTCTGAAAGAAATAGGGAATGAAGAGTGGACCTTGCAGTGAATGTTACTGAACATATACTCTTCTGATGTGTTTGCGTGGTGTGGTGTTGTGGAAAAACTTCAAAAACCATTCAACCGATAATTAATTTCTTCGGAGCTTAAACTCAATGTCAGGAATACATTTGACAGTGAGAATGTATGATGCATAGGAAAACGCCACAGCTACCTGCACCATATCCTTTGCCGAATATGCGAATGGCTTGTATCGCTCAGAAACTTGCAGAGCAGTCTTTTATTTTTTATTTTTTGGGGGAGAGAGGCCTTTTTTGTTTGTTTTCCACTCCTATTGGTAAGAATTGTGGTATGGTGTTATTCATCTGTCTGGTATAAAAGGCGCCATCAAACCAACCCTCCCCCATTTACCTCCCTTGGCTTCCGGTTTCAGTACTTAACTACTGGGCCAGATCAAGAAACACGGCTGCGTGAAGGCGCAGAAAGACGAGATGTGTGCATAAGAAAAGGAGGGAGCAGGCAGCACTGCACTATGCAATGAAACATGCAGACTGCCGTTAGTGGCACTTCAAACGTCCTTCCAATGGAAAGCGGCTCTTTGTGTGTTAGCACGCTCCCATTGGGGGGAACGGCTGTAAATGTTTGAGAAGCGTCATCACTTTCTCATTACTAAGAAACAGGGATGGGCAGTATTTCAAATACAAGTATTTGAAATACGTATTTCAAATACTTCGTGTATTTTGTATTTGTATTCAATTACAAATTGGGTAATGTATTTGGCGTGTGTATTGAAATACTAAAACGTGGGTATTTCAAATACAATTGTAATTAAATACAATTTTGTGGGCGAAAATACATCCCTCAAATTTGTTGTCACTGTCCAGAGCGGGAATAAAACTACGTTCTGCACCGAATGCAGTGTCTTTCCATCAAGCACAAGCGTTTAGTGACTTTGTGATTACGGTGCTAGTCAGGGCAAGAATAGTGACGAAATCGACGTACACAGGCACACTGGCTAAATAAGTTCCTGTGACAACTTGCGAGGCTTTCCAGCCCTATTTCCATCCCTATTTTTGCCTGGAACATTCTAAATGCGCGGGTTGTCCAGATTTTCGTAACTGGTGCGAGTTGCAACAATAAAAATTTCTCTAGCTAGTGCTGCGCGTCTTGGTCGTTGTGAAGAATCGAGTGTATCAAGTACGTAAATTAAGAAAGACAAGACCGTTTGAAGTAGAAAACAGCGTTATATTAGAAAACAACATACCAAGATGAAAACACACTAATTAAATTTACACGCGAAAACCAACGAATGGTATGACTTTGGGGAAATACAGGGTGTCACAAAAGAAAATTTACACGGTCTTTTGTACCGCAAAATTAAACTAGGCATCGCTGAACGCTCATTCTCCGCCCAAAGGTAGAGCTAGAGGTCACAATCAGATGCCAAAGTTTCAGCCTGATCCGATAAGTTAATCAAAAGTTATAAGTGATTTTCTGAAAATTTCAATGGGAAAATGGAGCCCATTTTTGCCCGTTTTCGGTTTCTGGTGCCATAGAGCCCCATGTGTTTGAAAACTCCGTCGGCCGCCATTTTCCCATTGAAATTTTCAGAAAATTACTTATAACTTTTGATTAAGTTATCGGATCAGGCTGAAACTTTGGCATCTGGTTGTGACCTCTAGCGCTACCTTTGGGCGGAGAATGAGCGTTTGGCGACGCCTAGTTTATTTTTGCGGTAAAAAAGACCGTGTAAATTTTCTTTTGTGACACCCTGTAGTTACAGGAATGCACGTTCGACATATTGTTCTCGCAATGTCGGCACACTGTTTCAATGCTGCTCGCTAAAGGCAACCCGAAAGTTCACTGCATCAACTTATCGCTTTCTTGTTTCGTGGCGTTGGGTCTTCCGAGGTGTTGTGCGATGGAGCGGCGACAAAGCACGTACAGGAAACCCCAGGGTTCAGCTTGAAGCCGGTGGGTCGGGCCGGCGTTGGCACGGCGTCGGCGTCTGGTGTGGCGTGTTGGAACAGACGGGGCCGCTGTGGTCTTGACGTGTGCTCCGCAACACGTGCACCTGCTTTCAGCTGGGGTGAAGGCTTCACGGGGGCCGGAGGTCAGGCCGGGTGGAAGCCTTGAAGAACCCAGGTCTGGACGCCCGGCTGTTCTCTTCCACACGCTGGTCTGCCCGCTCGAACACACTCCATTTTCTGTTCTCCGCCTTCCTTCTCTTTTTTTCTTTCTAGATGCAGGGCACGTGGCACGCGCGGCGAGGATGACGCGCGCGCACACACACAGTTCGTCGCGTGCATAGAGTTATTATGATGTACGCTAGAGTTTCAACTGGCGCTAGTGTCTATGCGACTTCCGTGACGCAAATTGAAGCAGACAGCAACCAGTCTACTTTTGCGGTGCTTCTGTGCCTTCCTATGGGAAAACGCGCGTGCAATTTGTCTCTTCACCGAAAAATAACACGGAACACTTTGGTTATTTGGGTCGTACCGAATAGTATGTACCTTGATTAACACTGTAGAAGTGTAATTGCTTTAGTTAGCGCATTTTTCTTCATCAGTGAACGATGTTTAAATTCGCTATATTTCAGTCCCAAATGTGTGTTCCGCAGCAGGTGTGTCAAAACAAGCGACGATTCAAAGCAACATTACAGTCGAAAGGAATATAGAGTGTGTTCAAGGCTCGCCAGCTTTCCGGTAACGCTTATATAATATGCCAGTCCTGTCCCTATATGAAAATGACCCCGTCGTGCATGAGCAGATAAAAACATTCAAACCGTAGAGAATAAAGTCGGTGGGCTATGAAGTGTGTCTCTTCGTATTGTTTTCTCTGCTGGGCACTTGATCTCAGTAATTCCGAGCGTGTGGGTGATATTTTGAACGTAGAACGAACATCTTCGCTCAGAGCAGAAAGAACAGCGGTGCTTACTTGTTTAAAATCGGAATAGATTACGTGACCTTCAATTTATTTTGATCGTACATGCACGGGTAGTTCCTGATCCAATGTTACTGCATAGTCCTTGCCGTCTCCCTTAATTTCCAGATGTTCTTCGCTCGTTTGGCACTAACATTCCTCATGCTGAAAAGCGCCGACGTCGTGTTCGCGCTAACAGTGTCCGACAGTGCACACAAATACCCGTACGAAGCCGTTTTAGCACCGTTTTTAAAGCGATGAATTTGAAAGAAAAACGCCGTAACTGACCAATTATTTGGTCGGCCTCACTGAGAAATGTTCCAAACTACCTGGTAAGTACGAATTATTTGGGATATTTGCTGTTATGATCGAGCGCAGGGAGAAAATGACTCACTCTTTTCCATAGAAATGCATTACCGGAAGTCAATTTTGGACTGGTTGCTCTCTGCTTCAATTTGCGTCAGCACACTAGCGCTACTTGAACCTTTAGCGTACATTATAATAACTCTATGGTAGCGTGCACAACGCGGCACGAAGATGACCCGGCACGTGCACATACACACCGTCGAAATCCGCGCACGTTACAGTCGTCTCCGTTCTTTGTTGGTCTATACCACGGTGTAAGATACACTCTTTAGGTGAGGACACGGCGGGGCTGAACGCGCGGCGCGAGGAATCAGATATACGTTCGTTCGACGGGCATCAGAAAGGCTGCATCATTCCGCGGCCAGCGTGCCCGCGGCTGACAGTGTCGCCGGCGGCCAATCGGCGAAAATCTGTGAGAGCGAAAAAAAAATGATCTCGTTGCCATGGCACCTCTGTACACCGTGGTCTTTCTGCACGAGCGACAACCTTGCTGGAGCTCTGCGCGTGTGGAGCATGAGGCGGCACGAGCCGTCTTTGCCGTGCCCACGGGTCGACGAGTCATCTGCCGGCGCCGCTTGAAACCATAGTGAGAGAGAGAAAGAGGGAGAGTGAAAAGCACACTTTATCTGCACTGCGCGAGGAGCGCGCTGTCCTCACATTAAGAGTATTATTATCTTACACCATGGTCTATACCAAAATGTAATCGACAAGAAAAAAAGCTCCTTGAAGCTCTGTACTTTTTTCACCTATTACGTCCAAGGTGATTACATTTTTTTGTGATTATATTTCTATTACGTTACTAGAGCCTCGCACACCTACTCCCGAGTGTGCGATGCAAAATTAAAATGAGATACCCAGAAGCCCGTTGCAGGTGCCCTGAAGTCGCTGACGCAAATTTTGAGGAATGTATTTGGAAAAAGTATTTGGAGGGAGACCAAATACATTTGGTTGTATTTGTATCTTGTACTTAAATTCTTTTTCGGAAATGTATTTAGATTTGTAATAAAATACATTTTTGACGAAGTATTTTGTATTTACATTTCGATACAAATTTGCATGTATTTTGCCCATCCCTGCTAAGAAATATAATTTTTCATAATTTCTATACGGCATATTCAATAGAGCTATTCTTTCGTGCACTAATAT